TTAATACAAGTTTACAATAATAAAAAAAAAGTATTTCCTTTGGCACTTGGGATAGTTCTTATTCATAAAAATATGAATGTATGAAGCTTGACATTTTCTAAGAAATAATTAAAAATGACAGAAAGAAATGGAAGAGTAAAAGAAATGAGAGACAATAAATTACCTTTTATTTCTTCTCAGGCGTGATTTTTCTCTTTGAGGTACAACCGTAAATAAGTTCTTGTTTTCCAAGTTTGTACTCATTACCACTAAATGCCTTCTGTATTCTACACCCAAATCACTGGCCTCTGATGGTTAATTACATTTCAGGTTTGTGTATTTATTAACATACTGACATCCCTCCCCTTAGTTACTGAATGAATAACAAGGCCTTCATTATGCCTCATCATTTATTTATCAAGCTACAGTATCACTTTTTCTATCCTTTTAGCCCCCTATAATACACTAACGCAAACACTACACTGGATCACTTTAACTCCCCCCTGGGATAACTGTAAACATATTCAGTTTTTCCATTACTGCTATCTGCCAGTTTCCTTTGTAAATATTTCTTTTATCTTTATTGAAAATATTTAGGAATAAATTGTAATTTCTCTTGGCCCCAGTAGCCATTTCACCCTGCAACATACAACTGGCAACCCACCAAAACTAAGCAGGTGTGAGCCTGGTCAGTACCTGGATGAGAGACCACCTGGGAAAAACTAAGGTTGGTGCTGGAAGAGGTGCTGGTGTGGCCAGCAGGGGGCGCTCACCCTGTGCTCTCTGTGGGTCCTAAAAAGCTGCCGTCCTTTGGATGGGGCGTAAAAGAGAGGTCCTGACTCTCTGTGGTCATTAAATTTCTCATTGGCCCTTAAAAATCATGGCCTCCTAATAATCCCCAACTATGAACTGGCCTCTTTACTCTGTTCTCCTCCCCACTGACAGCTGGTGTGTGTGGAGCGTAATGGCAAACTCTGGCTGCTGTCGCAACATCCAGGTGTTCCTACACATTGGTTTACCTGTCCTCACCTGTTCTTAGATACAGTTTTTATTTAATTTTAATTCCCTGGTCAAGAGGAAGAGGCTACTTGCAATCAAGCACTGTCCAGCATTTACAATTAACAACTGTTACAATTTGCAGTACATAATGTAGATGGGCCAGCAATTTGTTAGGTCTACGTCAAACTCAATTAATATAATTCTATCCAGTCATCTATCACTATATCAAGACTAAAGCATTAATTATGTACCTAATATGTTTATGGACAGTTGATCTATGGTGCAATTATTCAGGATTATATCATTAACATCAGAAAAAATGGCACAAAAACTAATGAGGGAATTGACTGTGAAAAACAAGCTCCATGGCCACAACCTTCTTATAAAATCAAACGATCATCATTATCTTTTCAATACATTATTGAACCTGTAAAGAAAGATGTCTGAGTCTTGTGAAAAACCACCTACAGGACTAGCTCACTTCTAATTCAAAAGCTTAGTCAAGCATCACTGAAGATCAATGCCATCTAAAATCCTGGAGCTTCACATGATTGTATATTCATGCTATTAGAACATCTTTATAAAACTTTAAATTATTTTAAATAATGGATGTTTAACAGCAGTAGCCCACACGGGCCTCAGCCTAATGCTCACTGACAAATAACATGCACTTCATTTAAATGGGAGTCAATGCCATTTCCATCCTTTGAAAAATTCTGTTTGAAATGCAATTTTCCTCTTTATATGTTCTTTTATAGGGATAATGAAGTGCAGAAATATTAGATACAAAACTCTGAACTTGAATTTGCATTTCATTCTTCTGTTATGATAGGGGATTCTTGGCTATTAGAGTTATTAATAGATACTAATCCAGGGTTTTGATTGCCTGATTGTTAAAATATCCCATACAGTGTTTGTACAGTAGGAGCTGGGGTGTTAACCCTGGTGTCCTGGCTAAATTTCAGCTTTCACTTCTTAAATCTGAACTGCATAAATTTCCTATCTGATCTGCGTACGGTGCCCTTCGAATGTATTCACACTCTTGATGAAATAGGTACATCAAATAAAGTACATCAAATAAAAAAGGAGAAAAACGTCTCTATCTTAAAAAGTTCTAAACATGCTTTACACTAGTCTTAAGGCATTGCACAGAGGTAAGCCACACCTGTCAAAAACAATTAAGGTCCAGAAAACATAAGGGTAACTTTTAGTTACACCAATGTAGGTAGTATTTTGTAAATTCTACTCTAGCAAGAAAGACACTCACTAGACACCATACTCCCTTAGCATGGCTATAAGGTTCAGGCACTTCACAGGGAGAATTTATGAATATTGCTATACAGTATGTGGAATTGCTCTTCAGACCTTTTGGTTTCTCTTAGTGAACTGCCTCCTTTAGAGACAGTTTAAAGACAGTGTTAAGTTGGATTGAGGTACTGTATGGAGATCGAGATGGTCAGTCAACAACATTTTGTGAGCTGTTAACCACTACTTTGTCGATTTGGAGGCACTGTTTGGATAATTGTCAGGGTACATTTCCAGCCAAGCTTGAGCTTCTTTACAGAATGAATGAAGTGGCAAAATACGTGGTACATTCTGGAAGTTTGAAGTTTGATATTTTTTAACCTGGAACCTTTTGGAGTTTGAAAGAGGTTCCAGGACTGGTAATGCACAACACCCCTAAAACATAACAGACCAATCATACTTTGTCTCTGTGGGAATGAATGCGTTCTCAGCCTGATCTTTAGCTCCTTCATGCTATAATTCTGTTTTAATTGTGTCAAGTGTCATGTACATTATGGCAGATTTGATTCACCACATACGGTATTGTGGCTCATCTTCAGAAGTAATGCATGCCACATTCACTCAGGTGACTAGAAGCGATATTGACACTTTGTAATCCGATGATGCCAGTGTGTATTAGAGATCTCCATCTGCGGTTTTGGAATTCATGGTTGCCACTGGTATGCTGGATGACCACTATACAAGTAGTCTTAGTATGTCATAATAATGGACACTACATCAGATAATGGCCGATCAGTTTCTTGGCAGATTCTTTTATAGCCATCCCCCAACTTGAGGGAGACCAGGACCATTTGCCTGTAGGCTTTGAAGAGCTATCTGACCTTAACCATATGATGCATGCTACTTCTCAATGTTCTCTATTATCTCCTTGTCTACCTCATGGAAAACAAAAAGCTCTCAGAGGCTTCTACTGCACTCCCAAGGAGCGGAATGTTGCTGTACATTTGTTTTGCTGAATTGTATTTAAAGGAAAATTTAGAAGTGTGACACCTCCAGGTGTGCGACACACCTGAAGAAGGCTCCACGGCCAAAACGTGTTCTCGTTCTTCTTTTTTTTCAGCATGGAATAAACCTACTGCTTGTTCCTTTGCAGCCTATGCATGCTGACGCAGCTACCCACCTGAATTATTCAAACTAAGTGAGAACATTATACCATCCACACTTCATTCACCTGTATGAGGCTTTTTGATCCTCCTGCATCAGGGGTATGGATCAATAAGGAGGGGACTGTGTGCATTGGAGCTGTTTTTGTTTGTGCAGAATGGTTGCCATGCCAATGTACAAGTACGTGCATTTGAGCGGTGGATGAAGTGGGACCACTTCCATATACAGTATATAGAGATTTAGGAGCTTTTGAGATGAAAGCAATATATAGTACTATGGAAAAAGTTATTATTATTTAAAACCGTTAAAATGAAAAGAATCACTAGTGGAGACATAGATTAAATTATTTAAATTTATAACTTATATCTGTTATAACTCCTGTTGTGTCCAAGATGTCAGATTTTTGCACAGTATTTCATTAGATCTGGGTGCTGTGTCAGCATGCACAATGCAAAGGGATAAGCATTCCAGAGTAAGTGAAAAGTAAAAAGATAAAAAAATGTGAAATAAAAATGTGTATTCTAATATATTATATAGCACAGAAAATCCTATAAATTGTACCCCGTTTGTTTGTTTCATCTGTACAGACATCATGTATTTTATCTTATAAGGAAATTATTTTCATCTCTCATTTTAAGCCATCCGCAAGTTCTTCTACAAATGATACAGTACGAAAAAGGTTTTAAACAGGGTTTCTCACCAGTGCCACAGTAAAAAACACTGGCCTCATTCCAGGTGCTTTTCACAGAAGGATATATCAGAATTTTAGACTTAATATCCCCACTTCATATAGCAAGTCCATTTGCAGGAAATGTACAACTTAGTGTGATATTTACACCTATTGCATTGCATAATCACACAAGATGGCCTGTTCAGATGGACCAAGATGTGTACAGGACTTCTAAAGTAGAACAACTGGCATTGTGTATTGTGAAGTCAAGAGAAACTTACCACAGAGTTCTACAATGGTGTCAATTTCGCAACAATCAAGTGACATCAGTTCTGAGAGCTGACTTGGATCTTGGCTTCTACTTGTGCCACCCCACACTGCATGAGGAGGGACTCACAAGAGTTTGAGTCACACACTGATGAGTCACCATAGGTCACAGCAATCACAGTTACAGTCTGATCAAAGCTATTGTTTTTGACAGTTCACCTTGTCAAAGAAAAAAGCAAATTAAAAGGTCTAACATTAAGACTGATTCATCACACTAACTATTCATCATCAACACTAACTATACCCATTATGAGAGCTGAAGTTCTAATTTTCTTACAAAGTTATAATTCAGTATAGATCCTAACCTTGAATGCAAGAGAAAAACGAAATATATGTAAGCTACTTGGTGTGACTCACCTAGCTCAGGGAATGGCAGACTGTCTGTAGGACCACAACCTCACTAGTGCAAGAACTGAGCTAGGGAACAGCTTCAAAGGTGTGGACGGGGAGGCAGGGGGGATGCGAAAGAGATACGCAAAAGGAAGTCCTGGCTGCGAGACATGCAGGGATATGCAGGTGAGCAGAAGTGTGTAAGATCGGGATCTAACCTTCTTCCCCAACCTTCATTATACACACCATTGAGAAAGCACCCTGTAGTCAGCAAAGGGGGTTTTACCTTCACAGCTGCTGTGTCCTTCCTCGTAGCCGGCGCTGCAGCTACACTTCCCAATGGGAACAAGCCACTCCCCCTCTGCACTGCAATGCATTCTAGGTGGGTTATCCATGTCCACCTCCGAGTTATTGACACAGGTCCCCCTGACTTCCACCAGGGTAGAGAAGGCTGCCTCTGCAATGGTATCAGGAAATATGGCCAGGTTCTGCACTGTGGAAAGACATTTCTTGTAATAGACCCTCACGGACACAAGAGCCACGCAGGCCCCCACGTCTTGGAACCCCAGATGAAATCCCCTCCTGTTGAGGTGTCCGATTTCTCGGACTTCGGTGTTGAGCTTCATCTTCCGCTCCCCCAGATCGCCTTGAGTGAAGCTCTCGTCAGCGGCGATGGTATCGATTTTGATGTACTTGCTTTCTCTGATGCTCCGACCCAAGTCCGTGTCTGACTCAACGTAGTGCAGGTTAAACGTCTCTTTGCATGTCCCCACCACTCCTGGAATGCTGTTACAATCCCTCAGTGTGAACTTGAGCTCAATAAAGATGCGCTGGCCATTCAGCCGAGCAATCCAGCCCGTCTGCAGCCAGTTATTCTGGTTGGGCTCCATGACGTTGCAGACTTGGTATGTCCGAATGGGCTTGTAATTTTCATCCACTCCACTGATCTCTTCCCACTGCAGGGAGAGAGCATGCAAACCTTTCAGTCCACACTACAAACGTTCCCCACTGTACACCCCGCATGCCCTAAATACATTTCCTTAATCGTCAACACAAGCTCAGATCGTGTTCAGTCGCTGCCGCTTGACAAATTAACAAGATAAACAACAATCAGCAATGTCTCACACTCCACAAACTGCCAAAAATGGTAAAACTTTGGACAAGGACATACGGTATACACAATTCATTTAAATTAAAAAATGTGTTTTGCTATATACAGTAGGAAAACAAACTTGGGTTATTCTGTAGATAGATTATGACTCTTCTAATTCAATCACAGAAACAAACATTTAATTCCATTTTTAATTCGCTTAAGTTCACACCACAGCAAAATAAGCAAATGGCAAAAAAGAATACACCAGCACAAGACAGTAAGCAAATGATGAAAACAATACAAATAGAAAATGGAAGCACGAGACAGGAAGATTTGGTGGGTTTAGAAAATTCTGGAATTCTTGCTAGTTCAACCTTGGCTTTGCCATCCTGAGCAACACAGTGAACCTCCTTCATTGGAATGAGACATAAAACTGAGGCCACAATGAAAAGTGACACGACCATAGAAGCTTCCAGTGCCAAGATTATCCTCTAGATGCTTTACGTCACAACACATTTCAAAGTTTCAGCAGTGCAAAAGCTATACGTCTGAGAACAAACATCACCACACTGTGGCTTAAGAGTTAGAAAATAAACACTTACTCCATTTGATGGGTGAGAGGTCCAGCCCAGCTCTGCCTGTGACTCTTTTGAATTCAGCAAAAGAACTACAATGTAAACAGAGGATACATCAGGATATTTTTCACAACAATCACAGAAGATTTAAAGGGTGACTTAAGTGAAGCCATCAGTTTCAAATTTACCGCCTTACACATGCTCCAATTTAAAGAAGAGCCAATTAAGTTAAATAAAGTATGTACTTTTCAAAGATAAATAAAACCCACAAAAAATCAATATAATTGATGTATACTTTCAAGTCACAGTGTTACTTTCTTGTGAAAAATATTTTCTAGAAGTTTAGAGATTTAATCTTATTCACTGCTTCTATTCATTTAAGAGTAACAAGCCATCCTATTAAATTCTTAAGACCTCACTTTTAATTTCTACCTCATTTTAGAGATTTTTTTTAACTTCAAGAGCGTAAGTGTGTGCTTGTGTCAAGCTACTGCATAATCACATTTCATAAAATCAAAGGGGTGTAACAAGTAAAAAGAATACTTATTTCACCTAAAATGTGTTTTATCATTGTTATATACATTTTACCAAGTCGTTTGAAAGTTCTATACAGTATATTAAAAATGAATAAAAAGGACCCAGGAATAAGAGTGTGCAATTTTGAAATATAAATAGCTTTCATCATTTTGAATGGATTTTGTTGTTTTTTTTCTCATCACATACAATGGATGTCCTGAACAGATATGATAAGATACTGAATGGGGAAGACACACTGAGCACTGCAGGTGAGTGAATGGCGTGCCTGCAGGGACAAACTCTGCATTAACAGCCGTTAAGTAAAAAGCTTTTTCCAGTTGCTTGAAATGGCTCACAGAGCAATGGGGAAAAAAGTACTGCGAAAGCTATTCTCAGCAGTATAATACCACAGTGTGAAACCCAAACCAAAGCTTCATTATTTTCCTGACATTTCAACCTCGCACACACTTGTCTCTCTGCTCCCTGGAAGCCCATACCAGCTGGAGAGCAGTGGTGACAGTACCTCTGCTGCCCAAAACCTCCCTTTGTGCACAAAATGTACAAAAATAAAATAAAACCTATCATACTGTATATAGACCTACAGTACAGGTATATACAGTATATCAATTAATATCAGCTCATTGTATCAACACTTGGTACTCCAAAAATGCCTCCATCTTCCTATACTGACATCACTGACACACGTATCATACTGTATGTGGACACACTGATTGGTCCCTGTGGAAACATCAGTGAGTTATGATCAAGAAATCACAAGGTGTTCTCATTTCACTGGGCAGAAAACTCCCACATTTATTAAATTCATCTTGTGTCTTTCATCCTTGGGTGCCAAATAAATACCATAGTTTTAACTTGGTGAGTAGGTGTATAAAATGTGTGTTACTTTGGGAAAATATGCTGAATAAATATAACAATGGTAGCTAATTTAGACGATTTAATAATTTAGATGCATTGTACAGTATGATTCAAGATCCACTAAGTCAATACAATAAATTTGAACATCACAATCCTAGTTTCATTTCTTTATTGAAGCAAAACTGCAAGGTTTTTAAGTGTCTTTCTTTTGCAACATTTCCATAAAATACTTGTGACTCTGCAGAACCAATGAACAGATAAGATATCGGGGAAGATAAGCTCCCTTTTCTAAACCCCCTTTTGTCATTTCTCTCATACTGTCACAATACAATGGGTTTCCACGTTAAGCATTCTCCTCTGCTGATGGGTATCTATGTGAAACAGATTAAATGCACGGTCCACGAACCCACTCCTGCAAGGTCAGATTAAGTTATTTGCATTCCCAAATCTTTAAGCCTTACATGATTTCTTGATTTCTTTATAAATAAATAGAATCATTTTTTCTACTGCAATTCAGTACAATAAAATAATAACAGTCACTTGGATATTTGGATTCAGTCATAAAGATATACCTAGAGAAGAAAAATGTATTTATTTTCAATTTATCTCAAATGAATCCCATTTCTAGTTTGAGACACTACTGAGAGGGTAATGAATAAACTAAAAACGTCTTATAATGTGCTTTACACCCACCATGAAAAAGACTATAAGCACATATGGTCAGACTGGCAGAGGGAGGAATATAGTGCATACAGTGGATGCCTGCCAGAAATGTCACATACCCCTAACGTGCAAAAGGCAAAAAACTAAATACTGCACATTTATCATGTAGACCCAATTAGCCCAAACACAGTAATTATTCAAAGATCACAGCATTTACCCTTAAACAGAGACGAGCTCTGTAATCTTGGTCTGTAGTCTATAAGGTCCTCAGTAGTACAGCCTGTCATCTTTAGCAAAAACATGGTTCAGCACCTTGGACAGAAACCAGCTCAAACAGATGCAGTTTCAGAATTTCAGTATTTCCAGGGCATTTTCAAAATTGTGTGCTCCAAAGCTCAATTTTCTCAAGGTGTCTGGGTACTTATTAAAAAAGTTATACATCTACAAAGTGTTAATTCAGGGTGTAAGCAGTAAAAATAATATTTATTTCACTTCACAAACACAGACATTTAGATTTTTTTTATTAAGAATGAGAGCTGTACAATAAGTATCACTTAACTTTTTCCCCTTTTAGCAGTTGCTGTTCTGGTATTTAAAGAATGTTCTTCTGAGGAATGAGTTAATCATCTACGTCCTCAGTGTGTGGGAAAAAAGGTTACTGGTCCTGATGAAAATAAATCTGAAGACTTGTTGCAAATCCTCCACTTTGCATATTTACATGATATACCATTACACTTGAGGAAGAGCAATAGAAATCAGTAAGAGGGATTTTAGAATATTTTATTCACCGATGACAGACATTAGTCTCAAGAGATAGAAAGGCAAAAAAAGTAAATATTTGCTTCTTGAGAGGGTACTGGAATAACGAAAGACATTAAGAAGTGGTATGTATGCAACCGACTGATAGGTCTTATCAAGAAGTGCAGTGCTCTTCCAGCCTTGGATAATTTATTGAATTGTGCCTTTTTGTACATTTTCTAAGTAGATCCGTGAATGCAATTAGATCCCCTAGGATCATGGTGGCATTTTTAGACACTGCACTGTCTAAAAACCCAAGGAAAACATTTTAGGATCTGCATTTCTGAAGAAACACTCACACAACTGTTGTCAAAAGTATATCTGCACCGTGCTAAACAGAAACTAGAGAGAAGATTGTGTATCAAGGAAAAAAATGTTTTTTTCAGAAAACAATACAAACATGTAATAAAACTACAGAAGACAAAAACCTTTTGATCCAGGTTCAAAATGTACTCCTGTTTATTAGAAAAATAAAACACTTCATGCAAGGATTTGAAATTACTCTCACCTCTAGCTTTGAGCATTTACATTCCAAATCCTTCATGTATCCATCAGCCTGTGTTTATTCTGGTATAATTCTATTAGCTATGGTAGGACTATAATTTCTATTGAATTTTCTCCTTAATTGTAATCCTACTATTGCACCTCTCCTCTGGAATTTCATCTTTCAGTAAATGGTTATAAACCTTTATAAGCCACTTTGAAATAACTACAGAATTCAAATAACCATGTTCTCACTGTAAAAAGTCAGTGCTTCATATAGAGACATATTCTACTTCAAACACAAGATTATTTATGAAAGCAACAGAGTTCATTTAAACTTATATATGAAAGGCTGAAGGCACGACAGCAGTTTGTCAGACTGAAAGTCCAATGGAGACAGTAGAGATTATTAACCAGAATGCTACCCTCTCTTTTTCAAAACCTAATCAAATTATGTCTATGTTTTCTTTAAAAACTGTGCCATGTCATGGAGCCTGCAAAAGAGAAAAGCCTGCATCCAGTGCTTATGATTATAAATTATGGTTGATGTTTATACAATATGATATTTATATAGTACGTCTTAGTTATAATGAGTTAACAATTTAATTTGGGCACCATCTTGCTATATTTGTGTACTGTACTGTACTATGTGGAGCCACTATATCAGCCAAATTTGTGTGAAGTAATGCTGTCCGCAGAGGAGAAAGCTGAACTTTAGTTAGGCTTAGAAACAAGAGTGACACTAGCTGGGAAATGAATACCCTGCCACCTGTACCAGTTTAAAAAGACAGAGGCAGTCAGCTCCTAGGTCTGTATTTGAAACTTTAGCAGTTATTAACTTGTCAAGGTTAAAGCAGGTGTGAGGAATCAGGCTGCTATTAAATGGGATTTGAACTATTTAAATAAATCTTTAGGCCTCAAAGCTGTCCAGAAAAGCCCTGCAAGTATGAAGTTAATGACCTACAGTCTATAATGTGTCCTATCACTTCACTAGTCATTGATATTGGAACGCTCCTGGCCCCCAGTCATATAATTAACACAGCCAAAACTAGGATAGCTCAGAACATCACGACTTAGTGCCTCTGTGCCTCATTGCCTGACTACTACCAATATCATACACTTAAAGGTTTTTAGCTTTCAGAGGTGTCCACAAAAACTCAGGTCATACAGTATGCATTTAAATTCATAATTGTAAATTCCAGACATGACCAAGTATCTCCCTGTGATATTCCACTTTGTGATCCTGCCTGTCACAATATCTGTCGAACTTCACTCATTGAGACAATTTTTGTGGAGCGGAAAATGGATTATTTTCACACTTCAATTTTGGAAGGTCAGCCTCATGTTTGTATGCAATAGCTCTTCTTAAACTTCTGTTTCCCTGTTCTTCATTAAAAAGGAAGAGCTCCCAGCACAGACTGTGCTCTTTTTTGATAGCTCTTGCCAACCACAATTAAACCAAAACAGAAACAAATTCTACATCTGAGACTGCATTATGGTGTGCTCCATTCATTTTAAACCTGATAAACTACTATTAAATCACAATCTGTGTTAAATCAATGGAAAATACAGACATCCTATACAGTATTAATACACATAACCTTCTGTGTATCTTTTCACAGCAAAGTTTAATTTAAACCCCCCTAATTTGTTACTTACATTATCTGCAGAAAATCATACAAAAGTAGATTTCTGGATCCCATGGGATGAAACGCACA